GTCCGGTGGCCATTGCTTCCGGTCTGCAGACCATGTAATGTCGCAAGACCATCAGAGCGTTGCCGTGGTAACCCGCGGCAATGCTCTGATTGGCCGTTTTTCTCGGTGGCTGGCCGGGCAGCCGGGAGGGGCCTCGCACCTGGCGGCATACCGGGCAAGCCGCGGGGCCCCCTCCTGGTGTCAGGTCCTCGGTCACGGACCGAGGACCTGACACTGTCCGCCCACAGGCGGTCGCGAGGCCCCAGCCAGCGCGAGGCTTTAGGCGGCCGCCTAAACCGCCTAATTAGAGAGCCGCCTCTGTGTATCAGTGTTCCTCACTTACAGAAAAGTTGTCTTCTTTCTGTATCTTTTGTACATAGAAGGGTTAACACTTTGTATTAGGTGTGCGCAATCTCACTGAGAGACAGCTAGTGTCTTCCACTGTGTTTCTGATGTACAAGTACAGCCATGAAGTAGCATAACCTTCTCTTGTAACATCAAGCTGTTGGGTGGTGTTATAGAATTGATTAATTTTGCAAACTGTAATGAATTACAGGGACAAGTGAACTAACTGCACCCTGAAATATAAAAGTATCAGAGGTTAGCATTGTGTTTGGAGCTTTCCCAAACCTCTTCTTGTTCAGATTATGTAATTTGTCCATCATCTGAGACTGAACATTTAATGATAAAACAATTCCACAGTGCAGATTTTTCTTCATCAGCTGCTGATGAGACACAGATATCATATGAAATCGGAGGCTACTCTCTATTAATGTGTGCCAAAATGAACTATTCAGTTGTGTGGAGCACTCATAGGGGTTAAATAATAGAACTATTTGGTTCTACACACGATTTAAAGTGAAACTATACAAAATTGTATTCCTAGCACTATAGCTTCCTATAGTGCCCCACTCGCAGCACAGAACCTTTTTGTCACTTACCTGAATCCAGCATCAATGTTAATAACGACCCAGAAGTCCCTCTAGTGGCTGTCTGGAGCCACTGTAGGTGGAGTTAAGCCTGGATAGTAATTATTGCAGTTTCCAAGGGTTAAACGGACAGGGATAGTGCACCTAAACCACTACAATTAGCTGAAGTGGTCTGAGTGCCTATGGTGTCCCTTTAAGGCAGGAGAAATCACAAGTGTAATTTCATGATACTTACAGTGGCGTCACGGGGGGAGGGGGGGCATGGCCCCCCCTAGTTCAGGCTGTGCCACCCTTTGTGCCCCCCAACTGGAAATGAAGTTACTGCTCGCTGGGCTCCCTCCATGGTACTGAGAGCCCAGCCCTGAGCAGATGGATCCTGCAGGCAGGGGAATTCCTGGAGGGAGGAGGGAGCAGGAAGCAGGCTGTGCTCACTGTGCACTGCTCTCCTGCTCCCCCAGCAGAAACGAAGGGGAGACTTCCTGCACCCTGGAGTATGGTTCCTCCTCCACAGCACTAGCACAGGTATGGCCCACATGGAGCCTAAGGGGGCTGATTTTGTGTATGTTTGTGTATAAAGTGTGACTGTAAACTGGTGTGAGTGACATTGTGTGTGTATACTTTAGTAAGATTGTTTGTTAGTGAGAGTGTAGACATTGTGCGTGTATACTTTAAGGGACTCTCCAGGCAGAGTAGTTCACTCACCTGGTTCCAGCACCAGGAGCCTCGTGAAGCTGCCCCCCCTATTTCGTCAAAATGAGGAAATAGGCAGGCGCGAGCAGGGAGCAATCAGATGCTTCCATCACAATCAGACGCTTCACGGCACATGCGCACATACTTGAAACTAGTTTTTAAACTTTTGTTTTGCTTATAAATTTTTTTTAAACTTTCCTAAACTTTCTTAAAACTTTTTTACAGATTTAAAATTTTTCTAAGCTTTTTTTTTTACCGTTAACCCCTAACTAGCAGTACGCAGCAGTAACAGTAAATTCCCCATTTTCCCATAACTCCCACCCACCCCAGCTAGCAAAATATATAGTTATAAAATATTTAAATTAATTAAATAAATTGAACCCCTGAGGGTTAAAAAAATAAATAAAAGTTAATCCACAGGGGTTAAAAAATTAGATCACAGTATAATACTGTGATCTCTATTTGATCGCTGTAGGCAGTGATCGACTGGCAGGGAAGGGGTTAATTTTTATTTGGACTAGGTAAAGTGTGTTTTTTTGTTTTTTTTACTTAAATGTTATTAAAACTTTTTTTAAGCTTAATTTTTAACTTTTTAAAGTTTCTTTTAAAACTTTTTTTTAACGTTAACCCCTAGTTAGCCTAACGCCAAATCCCCCAATTCCCCACTAACTTCCACCCACCCCAGCTATCTAAATATATAATTAAAAATAATTTAATTAATTAATTTAATTAATTTAACCCCTGAGGGTTAAAAAAAAAAAGAATTAACCCTCAGGGGTTAAAAAAAATAATCAGATCATAGTAAAATGTAATCCCTGCCAATTGATCACTGTAGTCAGTGATCAATTGGCAGGGAAGGGGTTAATTTTTTATTAAAATGGGTAAGGGGGGGGGACTTTAAATAAACTTTATTTTTTTTTCCAGCAGGGGGCAGGATCAGCACTGATCCGGCTCCCTGCACTTCACACAGAACCCGGAAGAGGCATACCGGGAGCACCATTAACCCCGCGATCGCCGCGATAGCGGCGATCCGGGGTTAATTTTACCGCGTGACGGACGAGGTCCGTCACCCGTCGTTAAGGGTCTCCCCTGTGTGACGGACCTCGTCCGTCACCCGTCCTGAAGGGGTTAAGGACGGAGCCAAATGTACACGTTGTGAACAAAACAAAATGTAAACAAAACATGGCATTTGCGCTACATGTCTGTCCAACCGTAATTCACCTCTTCCATAGTAAATGCACCCACCCTTATTATATATCATTTTATTCAGTGGAAACAGGGCTTTCATTTAATATCAAATATTTAGCTATGAAACATAATTTAATATGAAAAAAATGGGAGAAAATACGATTTTTTTTTTTTTTTTTTAGTTTTACATGACATTTTAACGGTCAATGTCATAATACTGTTTGCTTTTACTGCAATAAAATACACATATTTGTATTCAGTAAAGTCTCATGTGTAAGACAGTACCCCCTATGTACAGGTTTTATGGCGTTTTGGAAAGTTACAGGGTCAAATATAGCACGTTTGAAATTGAAATTCGCCAGATTGGTTACGTTGCCTTTGAGACTGTATAGTAACCCGGGAATGAAATTTACACCCATAATGGCATACCATTTGCAATAGTAGACAACCCAAGGTATTGCAAATGGGGTATGTCCAGTCTTTTTTAGTAGCCATTTGGTCACAAACACTGGCCAAAGTTAGCGTTAGTATTTGTTTGTGTGTGAAAAATGCAAAAAACGCCAATTTTGGCCAGTGTTTGTGATTAAGTGGCTACTAAAAAAGACTGGACATACCCCGTTTGCAATACCTTGGGTTGTCTACTATTGCAAATGGTATGCCATCATAGGGGTAATTTTCATTCTTGGGCTACCATAGGGTCTCAAAGGCAACGTAACCAATCTGGCGAATTTTAATGTGAAAAAATGAAACACAAGCCTTATATTTGACGCTGTAACTTTTGAAAACACCATAAAACCTGTACATGAGGGGTACTGTTGTACTCGGGAGACTTCGCTGAACACAAATATTTGTGTTTCAAAACAGTAAAAAGTATCACAGCAATAATATTGTCCGTGTAATGCTGTTTGTGCGTGAAAAATGCAAAAAACGTCACTTTTACTGGCGATATCATCGTTGTAATACATTTTACTGTTTTGAAACACTAATATTTGTGTTCAGCGAAGTCTCCCGAGTAGAACAGTACCCCCCATGTACAGGTTTTATGGTGTCTTGGAAAGTTATAGGGTTAAATATAGTGCTAGCAAATTAAATTCCCTTTACTTTCGGCATGGGTTGTCAGGCAGGTCCCGCTAATTGTAATTAATTAAGATACCTAATTATGTAAAAATATTACATAAATATATATGTAGAATTAATATATGTATATATATATATATATATATAATATGTATATATATATATAATTTTTTAATATTTTTATTTATATATATGTATATATAGTGATATATAAGTATATATTTATGTGTATAAGATATATATATTATTTCGTTCTATGTGTATTTTGATATATATATATATATATTAATTTCACAATACAGTTAGAACGAAATAACACACATCTATATATTTTTTAATTATTTATTTTTAATTATTTTTTTAATTTTATTTTTTTACGTATTTACATTTTTTAATATTATATATATAACAATAATTATATATATATTTAATCAGTATCAGTCTACGTGTAATTTGATATTAATACATATATATATAATTATATATATATTAATAGTAAAATACACCTAGACAGTGTATGTGTGTGTATGTATATGTGTATATATATACTTAGATCATATATATATATATATATATATATAATGTATATATATATGATCTAAGTATATATATATATTTTTTTTTACACTATTTATTTATTTTAATTTTATTTTCAGCCAGCAGGGGGACCACCTGTCATTACAGGCAGCCCCCCTGCTGGCAATGCAGGAGGCAGCTACCCCCGGCCATGTGATTGTGGGGTCCTTGCAAGGACCCCACTCTCACATGGCCGGGGGGCTTCGAGGAGGACGGACGTGCCGCGGGGGACTCCCTGTGATTCCCCCCACCGCGATCGCCGGCGTGGGATCCCGGCGACCGGGTAAGTACCGAAAGACTGGAGGGCGTACTATTACGCCCGGTGGCGTTTAGAGCCGCTTAGAATAGGGCGTAATAGTACGCCCTCCGGTCTTAATGGGTTAATAAGTGTGTGTTAGTGAGAGTGTGTGGCATTGTGTACTTACTGAAGAGTGTGTGAGTGACCATGCAACCAATTATATTCATAATACATTTTATAGATTATAATGAAAAAAATGTTTTACTTACAGTGAACCTGTCAGACAGTTTTACAATACTTTAATAGGTCTTTGTGAATCTGAT